CCCTCCCACGAAATTCCGAAGTTGGCAGGACTGAAGTTTCACGAGCTGCTGCTGCTACATATATTTAGTACATAGCTAACGTTTGTACGTAGCTGATAGCTCCAGTGCGTTGGTTGCTGCAGTGTCGTGTCGAGTCAACGTACGTGAGTAAATAATAAACCGCGGCGAAGAAAGATTCGGTTTTAACGAAATCAGTGAAAAAATAGAAGCATTTCGAGGTTACATAGGCAGCGAACGTTCGTCGTTTCTCCGAATGCTTCGCGTGCCAGGTCTGAACACGTAAAAATAACTCGTTCGAGTCGTCCCGAGGGAAAGTGAAACGTTTCTGCGACATCGTTTTTAACGTCAGAGAAACTTATGCGTGGAACTCGTCGCGTGGCTGCTGAGAAACATTCCCGCAGCCGGTGGTGTGCGCGTCGACGGAACGATTGACAGTCGCAGATGAAGTTCGACGAACACCGACTTTTCATTTGTTTTACCGTGAATTATCCCGTTTTTTCACGGAACGCCCGGCCATCCAGAGGTTGTTAAACTTCTAAATACTCTTCATAACGATTTAGTTATTGTTAACAATAAAAGAAACATGAATGGATTCAGTACCGGTGAGGAAGACTCCCGTGGAGCCGCTGATCAAGTTTGTTCCCTCGTCGACGAGGGTGAACGATGCACCCGGCCAGCAGGCAACGCTTCTTACAGCAAACGTATACAAAAAACTGTAACGCAACGACGTCTCAAGCTGAATCTCGACCAAGGGGTAAGAAAACATTTAAATCAAACCTTTAAGTCAGACGTTCACACGTCCTCACGACGTACAATCATTTGCACGTGTTTCGTTTATCAATTCAGGCACGTCACACGTACATCTGCGACTACCATAAGCAAGTGATTCAATGCGCGAGGTCGAAACAGCAGCAGCAACGTAGGCGTAAAGATTCCGAGGAGGATTCCGGAGAAACAGACAACGACCTCCCAGAAGTCGATTTGTTTCAATTACAAGTTGGTACACTAAGGCGGTACAAAAGGCATTACAAAGTCTCTACGCGTCCAGGTTTAAACAAAGCTCAGTTAGCAGATGTGAGTATATACGAACACGTAGAAACGTATCTAGAAACGTATTATTATTATTATTTATGGTTCCTCTTTTGTAGACTCTTATGAAGCATTTTAAGACCATCCCAGTTGTTGAAAAAGAGGCACTGAGTTTCTTCATTTATACCGTAAAGACGAATGCCAATAAATTGGATCAGAAGAACGGTTTGAGCAACGACACCACATAGCCTAGGTTTCCGTCTGACGAGTGTTTTGTTACTGTAATATTTTATTAGTGAGATCGAGATACGTGTACGAATTTTTACTTGTTGATAGGAGATAAGTATTTTGTAAGATCCATGTATAAAACACAAAAACGGAAGATTATATATGTATGACATTATATATTAAACTCGAGTAGACTTACGGTATTGTTAATTGATTTATTCTGTTTAATTACATGTTTTTTCATTGTAGCAAATCTTTCACCTGCAACGTTTCGGTCGCCTCCTCCTCGCTGTCGCCGCTTAATTCTAAACAATATTTAAGGATTTATTGGCTATACAGTCACTCCCAAAAGTTTATGCACTTTAGAAACGCATTTTTTAAAAAGAAATCACACGTCGGAGGAATATTGCTGATAATAAACGACAAAAAAAAATTTTCGATTTTTCCGAGATTTTTCCAAGGGGTACCCCTTCAAATTTTGCGAAATTTTCGTTTTTTGCCAATAACTCCTGAACTGTTGGAGTTACGGGGATGTATGTACGCTCATTTT